GACTTGAAGACTTCCAACGACCCAAACGCATATGGGTCGTGCAGCTTGAGCCCCAGTGCCCAAGTCTTGGCACGTCCTGCCAGATTTGACTGGGCAAATGCAACTTGCATATCCCCGTCGTCGATGCGACGCGCCCTTATGGCGTCATCCAATTCGACGAACCATCTCAAGAGAAGGTCTTCTTCGACCCCCCTATACTTGGAGATGTCAATCTTCAAAGTCTCGGGTCGACGCGAGTGCATCGACCCGCCAGCAGCAGCCTGCTGCTGTCTCAACAGTTCAAACTGTTGAGCACCCTGTTCTCTCAACAACTCTGATTGTTGAGAACCTTGTTGGTGAAGCAAGGCTACTTTCTCGCGTTCTGCGTCAAGTTCATTTTGAATGAACTTGGCGATAGTAGCATGTTGGGCATCTCTATTGAGAGCCTCTAGCATGACGCTAACAGCATGGATGCCCATGGTCGAACCCATTCGTTCAACCGCATACCATTCGACATCGCTCAAATGGGAGTAGCCGTCACGCGTAGCGTGAAAGCTTTGGTCATCTTCATCGTCCAACATATTCATGTTGGATCTGAACGCGGTCCTTGGACGGACTACAAAGTGCTACCAGGTGTAACGGGGCACACTGAAGCTTGTACTGGTGACAGTACAAGCTACTTATTTTGATGACAGAATAAGGCGGTGCCTCGTAACTTCACGTACACTCGTACGTGCAGAGGAAGACGGTAGGAAGAAGCGAGTACTTGGTTAAAGTAAAAAGTAGAACTGTATTTATAATAGTTAATGTCTGCAATAAATCACTATTTATCTTCATCTAACTATGTCTAAATACAAATGTGTAAATCAACTATCTGCTCACCACTCATTGCGTGCGTCTGTCGTGGCGCGTCTTCGTTGGTTGATATAATGGCCTATATCAACCAATTAGGAACTACTCGTAAGTGCTACTATATATTTGTCCTTATGACAATATTCTGAGAATATAACTCTTTTAGTTATATTCTATTAACAATTTCTTATAAATTGTTATGTAACGATTCACCCCGTTACAATACAGGCAAAGGCCAAGAGTGCCTTTTTAGCTATGCGGAACCCTCTCATAGCATTGTTGGACATGCTTAATGAAAAGCAAATCACGCCAAAAATACAAAGAAGCGCTGTAGGCACTCACGCATCTGTTCATTATACTAAATTATGCTGTTGAGATTGCCAAGGACCATTCTGCAAATGACATTCTGCTGCTAGACTCCACATACAAAAACAACATATTCCGCATGCCCTTACTTCATTTGATGGGAGTCTCTGCTACGAACTATTCATTCCCTTGGTTCACTTTTCCTTGCCGGGGAAACAGATGCGGATTATCTGTGGGTCATGACGGAACTGAGAGATTTTATTCAGCCTTTGAACAGATCAAATGAGCTGCTAACAGTCACTGATCGTACGTTTGCCCTAATATACGCCATTCGGGAGATCAATCCCTAGCATACAATCTGCTTTGCATCTGGCATATTCACAAAAACGTGCTTGCAAATCTTGGGAAGCACTTTGCAGCAGCAGAGGAGTAGGACGACTTCTTCAGCAAATGATATCAGCTCTGCAGTATGGCATCGCAAGATGAGTTAAATGAACAAAGGCAAAAGATGGAGGCAAGCTATCCAGCAGCAGCCACTTCCTATCTTTAGAGAACCTGTTTGGCGAAAAACGAGAAGTTCATATAGGCGTTTTCCCAGCACATTCTGCATTACAACCATACTGAGACTTCACGCGTAAAAGGGGGACACGCGACACTCAAGAAAAGGATCACGGTATCCACCGGTAATCTTGCGACTGTCTACAAAATTCTCATTGCACCATAATTAGCAGAAGTTGTAGATCAGTCAGAAAACATCATTTTAGGAGGCTCGTATCTCGCTAGAACCTCAGTCCCAGTTCTGGGCCTATCTGGTCAAGAAGATTTCCTTCCCTCAAGGAAGTTCTTGACTAGTATTAACTGCCTCTTCAGCTGCCTGACACCGGTGCTCCGCCTTGCTCGCAGACGTATTCAGATGCGATGGGTTATCTGTTGCCATGCGCTTAGGCTCACATTGGTGAATAAGAAGAAGCCTCAACTATCTGACTTCCTCGTGCTTTGGTAGCTTCAGCAACCACGCATTGAAACAATGGATGCCTCGCATCCAGGAGAGTCACTGACTAGCGTTATGGCACACATTGGCGAGATGTAAGAACTCCTTGCGCCTCACCAGAGGCTTTTTTTGCCGGACACTTCGCAATTTGGTTGAATCAGAGCATCCAGGGTGGTGGAAGATCCTGAGATAATTTAAGGGCGAGGCCGTCCTCAAGGTAGTACCGACAGCGAGAAAAATTCCTCAGAGATAAAACTCCGCCTATGAGTATATGGAAGGATGCAGACCAATGGTGGCAGGCGGAAGTGTACCTGTGGGAAATGCCATGACGAAGGGCACAACATCAGGCTTGTCCTGTTCGTCGCCAGAGATTAGCATCGCAGATTAAGACTTTAATTAAACACTGTTGAATAGATAAAACTGGGATGTATTTAAGGCAGAACTCAAATCTGGAAGGGGACTTGTTTATTGTTTGCTGTCACTAAACTTCGTAGAAAAAATTATCAATAGTTAGACTGCATGGCATTTGAATTAGTCGGTACTAGTGGCACTGTAGTCAAAAATTTACCGGTGTTGAAATGCGTCCGTTGCTTCTGATTGGTAAGATCTGGGGTGTGTGGTCCATTAATTAAAAAAGGTGGTCCAGCTATCAGCGACCTTTTTAAATTTAAAATTACGTTTTTAATTACTAAAAGCAACGCGGTACCTAAAATGATACACGGCTTTTGTTGAATGTAAGAATGAGATCAGATCGTTTAGAATACGCTTTACATACCAGGGCAAGCTAATATGTGGTTCCCGCTGTAGATGAAGCAGCAAGCAATAAGAGTTAAAGATGTTGTCGTAGTAGCAGATTCGTGTAACATTTGAGCTACATGACTTATAGAGTTTTACTTCCAAATCCCGTTCAATAGATTTTGGGTTTATCAAGCCTCATTGCAAATCGACTAAGTAAAATTTTTCCTAAATATCATTTGTCGATAGTTTCACGAATTATAGCTTCATCGGTTTCTTAACATACTGCTATTTTCTACACAGCTAAGAAGAGTAAATGTTACTGTATGCTGTAAAATAAATCGCAAACGCGCTTCCATTAAACTAATAGATTTGCCTCCGTTCCAAAAAAATGCAACATTGTCAATCAGCATGAAGCAGCACTATCGACAAGCGTATATTTATCATGGCTGTAAAAATTGTCGTTACCCGTCCTATCAAGTTGGCTACGATTGAGTCCAGTGGCTATGCTTCGGGCCTCGATTCGATCATAATCCACCCCCTTACAGATATAACGGTATTGCTCGCAGGCCCAAGGTGCTCAGCCGAAAAATGTGATACCGTGTCATACTTGAGATTTTCGATCGTACATTTATCACACAAACACGTGTCTTTGCTTTTGTACGTAATTTTAACGACAAATGTACGAACATTGATGTACTCTTGTGGACCACAAAATTATTCTGAAAGTGCCTTGACCGGAAGCCTCAAAAACTGTTGTATCGCACCATATCATCTGGAATGCCTTTGGCTGATCCCCACAACGCGTTGGCGGACGGCCACGTGTTTAAAAATATGTCAGAACAGTTATAACGCTTACGATGGTCAGATAGCCAAAAAAGAGGTCGTCGCGACAACGGAATCAGCGAACGAAGGAAGGTCTTATGCATCTTAATCGGCCCGATTAAATTACATCACATCAAAAAAATCACAAAAAAAAATACGACACTGCCGCGGGTTTAGCACCTATTTCTAATCACGTAAACTATGGGCGGACAAATGGCAACTCATTAAGGCTTGGTCGTTGTTATTGTATTTGCGATCTCAGTCTTTCAAACTGTTGGTTCCATTTTTTATTGCTCGTATACTGCTGGTGAAATATTCCGAAAAGCACGACAGTTCTTACCGGAGTCAGTGAGCAATTTCTAATCGGTGCCCTGCAAGTTTGCATACGCGTGGGTATTTTAATGAATAGTGAACGGAATTCTTGCCAGGCAAACTGTTATCTGCAGTACTTTAATACGTTGTGAGAGGAGATATGGCATTTTGCTAGACGTCGATTCAGGATTTGGCTACACGTGATGTAAGAACTGCATTAACAAAAGCATGAAGCATTTCGTATCTTCGCGGTGTATCGTGTGAATCGTTTTTTGTCATCTGAGACTACTTAGTTATGGTCTATCCCCGTACATTTAATGCAAACACAAACGTTGTTTTCAGCAGCCTAGCATGTACGACAGTGGCCTGTATCAATCTTCAGTAAAGAAATATCAGGTGCTTGTATCACGTGCTAGGTCCAATTTCAGTTTGACGCACATGTCGCATTCATTTGCAGCACGCGATGTCAACGACACGACTGTGTTTGCTTTGTCCCAAAATAACGCGAGAATCCCGGACGATGGTGTTGGCGTGGCGCACGCAATCTCAAAATCTCCCTCATCGATTAGACACCTGCTGGAGAATAGAAAGGACCTCCCTCCCATTTAAAGGAAGTGACCGATTCTAGATGAAGTTGGCAAAATGCAAAGTGAATATATTTAGGTCCTTAGTTCACAAACTCCTATTGCTAGTCTAAGCCTACTGAATTCTTTCTGCCTATACGTTAGTAATCGCCACATTGCGCATTACTACTGGTATAGAGCAGATTAGTAATCGCCACATCGCGCATTACTAATCGTCTAGTCGCACATTACTAAATCTAGGCGGTGTGTTTCTAACAAACACCTAAACTTACTAAATGTGGGGGACGTCACTGTCTGGCAGGACAGTGCTGGTGAACCCCGGCACACCAGTACCCGAAGGTATTAACTTTTATTGCAGTCACTGGATATCGAACCAGTGACCTCTCGTATGGTGCTGCCACACCATACCACATGAGCTACGTGCATCTTACAAAATCAGCCTGCCGAGGCGTTTGTTTTGCAACACTCCCACTCGCCTCGGCAGACCGTGGCGCCTTGATGCCCAACATACTTCGAAGATACTGGAACTGTGATGCAGGAATTGGCTTGGTCATTAGGTCAGCCTTCATGTCCTTGGTCGAGCAGTATTCCTGGACCACTTTTCCTTCTGCCACCTTTTCACGCACAAAGTGATAACGAATGTCGATGTGCTTGGTCCGCTTGTGAAACTCGGGGTTCTTGGCCAAAGCGATGGAACCTTGATTGTCTTCGTAGATCTTGACTGCTTCGTCGCTATTCATCTCGCCGAGTTCATGTAAGAATGCCTTAAGCCAAATTGCTTCTTGTGCAGCTTCAGTCAAAGCCATGTACTCGGCTTCTGTAGACGATAGAGCCACGGTGCTCTGTTTCTTGCTTCTCCAGCTAATGCATCCGTTGTTCATTACATAGGCGTACCCGCTTGTGCTTCGTCTAGCCTCGACATCTCCAGCCCAGTCCGCGTCCGAGTAGCCTTGCAGCTTGTCATCACTGGTTGCTTGGAATTCAATTCCATACGTCCTTGTGCCTTGAATATAACGGAACACCCGCTTAAGCGCTTGCCAATGGGTTGGACAAGGTTCTGCCGCGAACTGACTGAGAACTCCCACTGCAACTGCGATATCCGGGCGGGTCCCCACCATGAGATACATCAAACAGCCGATGGCGTTGCGGTATGGCACATTTGCCATTGTTTCCGCATGCTTGCACCCATCTGCACACATTGACCTTGTCAACTTGAGTCCAGGGTCTTGTGGAGTCTTCACAGGTTTGCTGTTTTCCATGCCAAACTTCTCGAGAATATCTTTTGCAAATTTGGACTGACGGACTGAAATCGTGCCGGCTGAGAGGTCTTGATCAATTTCCATCCCGAGGAAGTACTTGAGGTCGCCCAGGTCAGTCATGTCGAAGCGTTCACTTAGCGCCTGCTTAGTTGATTGTATCAGCTCGAAGTTGTTACTTGCGATGACTAAATCGTCAACGTACAGCGCCACGAAGATCATGTCTTGATGATGTCGCTTGACGTAGATGCAGTGGTCAGTTTTGCATTTTCGAAACTTCAAGTCCAGCATAAACTTGTCGATGGTCTGGTTCCACATTCGTGGTGACTGCTTCAGACCATACAGAGAGCGCTTGAGATGACAAACAAGCTCCGGATGATCTTCATCAACGTAGCCATCCGGTTGTGTCATGTAGATGTCTTCATCAAGGTCTCCGTTCAGGAAGGCTGTCTTGACATCCATCTGGTGAAGCATCAGATTGTGCTTTGCCGCCAAGCTGAGTAAGATCCTGATTGACGTAAACTTGGCCACCGGAGCAAAAGTTTCTTCATAGTCGATGCCATGTTTCTGCAGAAAACCTTTGGCCACCAAACGCGCTTTGAACCGCTCGATTGTACCATCCTTGGTTTCCTTGACCCGAAAAATCCATCGATTGCCGATTGCCTTGCGCCCCTTTGGTAGCGGTACAAGCTCCCAGGTCGCATTCTGGCGAAGTGAAGTTATTTCAGAATCGCATGCCTCTTTCCAGTGGACTGCATCGCTGGATTCCATTGCTGACTTGAGCGTTGTCGGCATTTCTCCCACTGAATCCACGATGTAGGCCGTCTCAACGTCGGGACTGTCATGCGCTGTCGCAGACATTTCAGCCATGGTGGGGTATCGACTTGGTCTTTTCGACTCTGGAGGGTTCGCTAAGGCTTCGAGCGACTGCGCGCGTTGGTGCCTCTTTCCCCTGATCGCATCGTTATTATCCTGCGTAGTGTCCTCTCGTCCCGTGTCAGGGTTGTTGGTATAAGTGTACTCTTCTTCAGATAACTGTTCATCTTCGAGGACAGCTTCATCTGGAACGTAGTCACGTCTCCCACTATCGAAAATGTTCTCCATGAACTGTGCGTCGCGACTTACCAGCACACGTCCGCTCCTGATCTCCTCAAAACGATACGCTTTCTCATGATCGGAGTACCCGATGAACCGGCAATGAACTGATCTTGCGTCTAGCTTGGACCTTTTTGGCTTGGGCACATGAACGTATGCATGACAACCAAAAACCTTCAAGTTCGCAAGAAGAGGTTTCTTGCCAGTCCATACTTGGTATGGTGTCTTGCCATGGTCCGTAGATCGAGTTGGACAGCGAATGCGTAGGAAGTTTGCGGTCATTACCGCCTCACCCCCAATACGACTTGGACATCGCAGCATGTTCCATCATGCAGCGTGCGCATTCCACCAGCGTTCGATTCATTCGCTCAGCAACTCCATTAAGCTGAGGAGTGTAAGGTGGTGTAAACTTCTGCACAACACCATGGTCCGAACAGAACTTGGTCATCATACCGGAGGTGTACTCTCCACCGTTGTCGCTTCGAAGAACCCTCACGCGATTGCCAGTTTGTGTCTCCGCCAGCGCGACAAACTGAGCGAACTTGGTCAAAACTTCAGACTTGTTTTGCATCAGATACACCACACAATAGTGCGAGTATTCGTCGATAAACGTGACAAAGTAACGTTTTCCACTGAATGTCGCCGTGTGCATAGGACCACACACATCGCTGTGGATGACCTCCAGCAGTGTCGTTGCGCAATCGGGTGACTTCGTCATATAGCTCACCCGTGTTTGCTTGCCCAGAGCGCACCCTTCACATAGCTCCCACTTGTTTACCGAGGTCAAGTTGATTCCGTTGCAGCAATCGTTTTTGACGATAGCATCTAGTCCCCCGTGTCCAATGTGACCAAGTCGAAGGTGCCAGAGGTACGACGTGGTGCTTGCTTTGCAGGTATTCGAGCTTGCCACGTTGACCTCGTCGGGCAGTTCCGGTACCATACGGAGCTTGAACAGTCCTTTTCCTTCGAGTTCGCCGAGTTTCCACTTGATACCCTTTGTATCAGCAAAGCAACCATCAACCTCGAATGTGACCGGTCCAACGTCCTTGATGAATCGGCCAACAGAAAACAGGTTGCGCGACAACTTTGGAATATGCCACACACCGGTGAGCACACCCTTCTTGATCCCGCGCGGAGTCTTCATTGTCATCACGATGTCACCTTTTCCAATTGCTTGGACCACACCGTCATCAGCAAGATGCACATCCACAGGGCCAAAATCCTTGTAGTTCCTCATGAACCTTTTTGAATTTGTCATGTGCTGCGTCGCACCCGAGTCGATCAGCCACATGTTGCTCGACTTGGTCTTGTCACCACCAACCGAGAAAAGATAATCGCCAAGCTCTTCTTCTTGCGCGATATTCGCACGCTGGAACCTCTGTCTACCAGCGTCTTCTTGGATCCGCGAAGGGCATTCCGCAATCCAGTGTCCTTGTTTTCCACACTTGTGGCACGCACCGGTCTTCTTCATCGGTCGAGCCTTGCGCTTGTTATCTCGAGACATGAATGCTTGAGCTTGACTGTGCGCGGATCCTTCAATTCCGCCACCTTGTTCCTTGCGCTTCATGTCTTCGTGCAGCAGCCGAGACGTCACTAGCTCCAACGTGAGGGAGTCGGCTCTCGACTCCAATGCTGTAATCAGGAACTGATACGACTCGCTGAGGCTGGCTAGAAGCGTGATCACGAAGTCGTCCTCGCTAACCGGAGCACCCACTGCGTCGAGCTGCTCCGCCAGAGTCTTGAGTCTGTTGATGTGCTCCAGCACATCATCACCTTCGTCCATCATCGTCGTGAAGAAGCGTCGACGAAGGAAGAGCTTGTTGGCCAGGCTCCTCTTCTCGAAGTGTCCTTCCAGTCTTGACCATGCATCATGCGCGTCACTAGCTGACCGGACCAATGGTAGCTGCGAGTCTTCCATTGCGAGACAGATGATTGCGAGCGCTTTGCGCGACTTCCTCTTGAACGTTGCTTGATCAAGATTGCTGGTGCAGTACTCAAGCTTGACTCGCCGTTCACGACGTCCCACAGATCTCGCTCCTCAAGCACCATCCGCATCTTGAACTTCCATGTGTGGAAGTTCGTTCCCGAGAACTTGTTGATGCGAGCTGCGGTGATTGGAGCAGAGTCCATCGAGAAAGCGTGATCGAAGTCTTGGCCAGAGTCAGCGGAGCTTGGGCTCATAACCTAAAGGAAGTGATCGATTCTAGATGAAGTTGGCAAAATGCAAAGTGAATATATTTAGGTCCTTAGTTCACAAACTCCTATTGCTAGTCTAAGCCTACTGAATTCTTTCTGCCTATACGTTAGTAATCGCCACATTGCGCATTACTACTGGTATAGAGCAGATTAGTAATCGCCACATCGCGCATTACTAATCGTCTAGTCGCACATTACTAAATCTAGGCGGTGTGTTTCTAACAAACACCTAAACTTACTAAATGTGGGGGACGTCACTGTCTGGCAGGACAGTGCTGGTGAACCCCGGCACACCAGTACCCGAAGGTATTAACTTTTATTGCAGTCACTGGATATCGAACCAGTGACCTCTCGTATGGTGCTGCCACACCATACCACATGAGCTACGTGCATCTTACAAAATCAGCCTGCCGAGGCGTTTGTTTTGCAACACCATTCACGACATCCGAGCGTCTCTTTTACCCATAAAACAGACCCCACCAGTCCAGTTAATCGCTAACAGTGTGTACGCGCACGCCAACAAGGAGCCGTCGTCCTGATTACTCTCCACAACCACACTTGCAGTCACTACTATCCCTCCAGCAAAATAAAAACAGGCGGCAACGGCGTCGTCCGTCTATCCGACAAATTACCATCACTCTCAACGTCCCTCACTCACTCACTCTGTCTCTCTCACTCTTTCACTCACTCACTCTCTGTCTCTCCTGCTACTTCCGAGTCAGTCAGCAACCCAAGCCAAAAGACGCGAGAGAGAGAGAACGTCGCGATGATCCGAGTCAAGTGGAACACGGCGGACCGCCCCGTCCCGCGCGCCGCCTCGAGCAGCGAGCGGCCCCCACTGACCGCTCTCATGGACGGCATCGTCATCAATAGCTCGACTACCACGACCGCAGCTTCTAATCCGAAACCTACTGGCACAAGTACAAGTACTACCGCCAGCGGCAGCAGTCGAGGTCTCCACACGACTCCTGCTCCTTGCAGCACTGTCGGCTCTTGCCGCCGGCCGCCGCTGCCGAAATGGGGCATGGGCACGATCTCGGAAGACACGATGGTCAGCGCGTCCAATGGACCGGCGATCAGCTGGTCGAACGACCGCTTCGAGCTCACGGAGACGGGGGAAGTGCGGAACCGAGTCACGCGGCAGCGGATCTCCAAGAACGAGATCCGAACGCATGGGGAAGAAGTGCTGCGTGGCCTCATTGATACGGTGCACACGCGCATGCTGCAGGAGCTTTTGTTTCTGGAACAGGCGATTCCGCCGCTGGAGTTCGAACGCTCGTCGGTGGACTCTGGATTCGAGCCAGGGGCGAGCGCCTTGAGAGGGGGCGGTCGGAGCAGCACGGCTACGAATGGGAGCAGCAGTAGTAGTCGTCGAAGCGGTCGGGTGAGCACGAGTGGCTCGGTGCGCTCGAGCTCGTCCAGTATCTGCTCGACCACTGACGGCTTTCGGATGATGATTGATACGGACGAACCGCGCTGTATCTTCCATACGAGTACAAATTTTAGTGTCGCCGAGAAGTTACTCGTCTACGTCTGCTCGTTCCGAGGCTTAAGCTGCGGTATCTGGAGTCGCAGTGTCTTGCTGAAGGATGGAGTCCAGGTAGGCTCGATGCTCCCGTATTTTCAGAAAGCAAGTGCGGCTGGTTATGGCATTCTGGTCATGAACCCAAACATGAACACGCAATTGATGGTGACACCAGACGGAACGGTGGAGAAAATGCCCATTCGAGGATCGAGTAATGCCGAGGAGCACTGTGACCACGTGTGGCGAAACTACATTTTCCCGTCCGCCGCACATAAGGTGCATTTTATTGCGTATGGATACGGGGGCGTGTTGGTGACGCAGCTGATTGCAAAGTACCGTTACGAACTTAAGAGTCGACTGGGTAATGTGGCATTTATTGAAAGCTCGCACAAGATCGACCCGTCCTGGAACTCGGGGTTTAAACGATTTTTCTCGCAGCACAGTATTTCATGGTCCAGGTCAGACCTCCCTCTTAACACAGAACTTAGTCGTGATGCGACTGCTTTTGCCTCAGGTGGAGGTCCAATTGGCACGGGAACGATGACTAGTAGTGACGATGGGATTTTAGTGAAGGCGTCGTCACCGTCGTCGCGCACTCCTACAAGTCCCAGTGCGAAACAACTGACAGGCTTTGGTTGCATTTGCTTGTCTGCAGGGCCTTGTGAGGGCGCGAACGAAAGCCCAGCTTACACAACGAAAGCGGTTCTGGAGACCGTGTTTGCTTTTCTGGCGTCGCCCACACCATACGAGTTTCAACGTCGTGCTGCCCGTGAACTTCGGTTAAACACATTGTTGGTGGATCAGCAGGCAACAAAAGCTATGGAACAGGTTGGAAATAGCGGGTATGGTGAGCGTGAAGAGCAAATAACGGACAAAAAGCAGCTTCTGCGGAATGAATCCGCACGACCGCAAAAACAGTCAGTATATGATGCGGTGCTTGGTGGTTCTGCTGGAGGTGCCTCTCAAGAGCTAAAGCCTCGAGAGTACGACACGCTGACAATCGCTGACTTTGATCTGCTGCGCGTGGTTGGTCGCGGTGCCTTTGGTAAGGTAATGCTGGTCCGAAGAAAAGTGCAGCAGCAACAGAAGGGAGCGCGGTTACTAAGTCCTCGCACAATGGTGGCGATGGGTTTGACTCCGCAGCAGACTGCACGTGCAACCGCCGGTGAGGGTGGCAAGGTGTACGCTATGAAGGTGATCAAGAAGGCTGCTGTGTTTGCGAAAAATCAAGTAGAGCACACAAAGACGGAACGGCGTATCTTGCAGGGAGTCGATCATCCGTTTATGGTGAAGCTGCGGTATGCATTTCAGAACGAAGCGAAGCTGTATTTTGTTATGGACTTCTACAACGGCGGCACTCTACACTTTCACTTGCGTCGTGCAATGCATTTCGATGAGGTCCGCACTCGATTTTACTCGGCGCAGCTCGTATTGGCAGTGTCGCATCTGCACACGTACAATATCGTGTACCGCGACCTCAAGCCCGAGAATATTTTGCTGGACGATCGAGGGTTTATCGCACTTACCGACTTTGGTCTGTCGCACGACAATGTCGACAGTAAAGACGGCATGCAGACGTTTTGCGGCACACCCGAGTATATCGCCCCCGAGCTCATTCGCCGCGTTTCGTACGGCAAGGCGGTGGATTATTGGTCTCTGGGCGTTCTGATATTCGAGATGCTTGCAGGCTACACGCCATTCTACCACGCCAACCGTAAGCGCAACTTCCAGAACATCGTAAAGCTTCCACTTCGATTCCCGTCCGAGTTTTCGGAGGATGCTCGTTCGCTTCTGCGCGGTTTGATTTGTCGAAACCCAGCAAAGCGACTCGGGTCCGGACCGTGCGGTGCTCAAGAAGTTATGGACCATCCGTTCTTTGCTGACGTCGACTGGGAGAAGCTTTATAAACGTGACGTGCCTGTACCATTCAGGCCTGTAGTCAAGTCTGACGGTGAAGTGAGCAACGTGCCTGAGTTCTTTAAGAGACAGGAAGTTGTGGACTCGGTGGTCTCGGATGCACCTATCGGCAAGAGCCACGTGTTCCAAGGGTTCTCGTATACAGACCCGTGTAACTTGTAGAAGAAGAGTGAGGAAGATTGCGTGAATGGAAAAATTGCGCTTTGAGGTGCTCGCGTCGATTTTGGAGAGCTGAGTAAGTTGAACGGTCGAGTGAGGTATCTATCGAGTCAGCAGCTCGCTCTACCTTGGCATGAATTTGGCACAAGTTGCTCGCATCTTCAAACAGTGATTTCAGCTTCGCATGAACGAGCAAAGTAGACTGAACATCAGCTTGACTTGCAATGCCACACAAATCCGAAGACACGAAAACAGCATTGTGCAACTCGCTCGAGACGGTGTTGATGTCGAAGAGAATGCTGGATGTGAAATGTAATCAAGTATTTGAGTGCTGCATCTTCGTGTTAGAGCTGCTTTGGCCAAGCCACGCAACAGTCTTATCGAAGGTGTGTCGTACGTGTGGAGTTTGTAAAAGTGACATCGTTTGCGCAGCTGTGGCAACGTCATTCTTACGTTGAGTTGATGTCGAAACATGTTCCCGTACTTGGCTCGCGTCAATCCGACGTTGCACATTACTAGACAAGGAGAAACATGTTGTGCTCTAAAATAGAAAGGTTGGCTAAGCAGAGTGCTGGTTGGAAGAATCTTGTACGTCAGATCTCTTTCGAATAGCAACGAAGCGTTCGTGCTGGAATCTTAATGTCGATTTATATCGTAAGGAAACTTGTGTTACTCATTATCGCACATACCTACGGATGTTTCATGATGTTTTGTGGTGTCTCTCGAGAATACAACTGCACTATTTGTAATGGAGAAGTGATGCTGAACTTGTATTTGCGCTCCGCCTGAGTGCCACTAGCAAACTTGGCTTCTTCACCATGCCCTTGTAGCTCAAAGTCATCGGCATAAGTGCGCGGCAGGTGTTGTACACAAGGACACAAAAGTGAAAGCGCAATTGATGGCATGGCTGCGACTCGTCGATGAAGAAATGCACGCGTTGGGTCTCGCCGCCTGACTTGAAGCTTTGTGTGCCGCCTATGAATTTATAACCCGAGAGGCTAGCCGATAGATGCGTGTCTTGCTGCTGTCGAAGGTGGACATGGACCTGGCATACCGAAATAACTGACCAAAACTTTTGCACGATCACGTCTGCCAGTTTTTCATGAGTCCACCGCAGCATTCTTGGAAAGTCACCCTCTTACACATGCACGGCGAGCATGTATGCAACCACGCGAAACGAACACAGTAGTTTAGTATTGCGACGTTGCCTTCTATGGCATCAGGTTCGGCACCATCGAACTCAAATGCTCGCGCGACTTCTGGTTCGATCGCCACTTTCCTTTTTTGTTTTTCTTGCCCGAGTGGTGAGATGCATGGCCAAGAGGTTTGCTTCGGTTCTTGTGGTTGTACCGATGTTTTGAAGTCCCCCACAATTCGTCGTACGCCAACATGATCTTATTCACGCGATGTGCTTCGAATCACGAATCGGATGGAAGACATCCATGTACACTCCCTGAGGCTTCGGTTTCTATCTACTTAGTCACGTCCGAAACTATTGGACGAGCAAAACCGAAACTTTTTTGTCTGGCGCCTCCATGTCAGCAATCCGAACTGCGAATGCTCGATCTCCAAGGGTCGCTAACAGACATGCGAACCCGTCCTCGTATGGTGACTAATAGGGTAGAATAGGACGTACGCGTCAAGCACGTTAAAGTCCTCGGATGAAAAGGGTTTGTTAGTCATCTCCAGGATTTTAACAAGTCCATTAGGTTCTAATTGCCACTGAGCCGCTGGAGGTCGAACAGCTCACACAGCAGGATCAGCGCTCCTGCCTCGTAAATTCCACCTACAGGCGCGCGAGTTAACACACGAGTTCGCCACTAAAACCCGTCACCGACGCCTCTAGTAGTGTATGCCTGGTCTGACACAATTCGTCATCAGCCTCTATAAACAACCTCAGCACCTCCAGATTCGGCGTCGCGCAAATTTGGGGCCCCTCTTCTTCAAGCTGTAGCAGCGAAAACACCTCCTGGATGGTTTTACCTTTCCAATCGCATCTCTCCGGTGCAAACACAGACCGCGCCTCAAGCTCCAGACGTTTCCCCAGCCGTTTCTACCGTCTCATCACCCGCCGCTTCCTCTATTTTTAAATTTAAGGACATCATCTCTCGATCCAGCTCCTCTTATGCCTAGGATTCGCAGCCGCATGTGTCGTGTGGAAAAAATCGACAGCCAAGTGAGCTGACTCTTGTAGTCTCTCATTGTCTTCTGAATCGTAATACGCAAGCTTGGGCTTGGTATCATGATTTTTCAAAGCTAAATACCGTTCGAGGAGACCGTCGACTGCCTCTTTCTCTTCCGTCGGCAGCATTGAAGGAGAACCTTCGAGGAGAGTGCCGATTGCGGTTTTGTCCTCCGTCGGAAGCGTTCGAGGTCTTCGAGGAGAGCCTCGATTGCCTTAACTTCCTCTTCCGACAGCGGCTTCATCAGGGAAAGGGGCTTCCCCATCTTCTTCGATAAGTGCTGCAATGAGGGCAGGCCCTTGAGCGTTGCTGATGCCGCAGCAGCCTAGGTAAATCTTCTGTTTTATTCCTTCAGGTAGCTTAACGCCTTAAGCAGACAGTTGACTGGAACAGCGCTGCGGTCTTCGGCAGCAAAAAAATAACGCTGTCCGTAGGCTCGGCTCGGCATCTGACGTCTCGTCCACGGAGATCTTCGAGGTGCTGGCGACACACGCTGCAACCGCAACAGCAGCTAGAACCAGGGAGGAGAAAACGTGCCTTCTTTTGAAGGTCACGGTTGATCGTCGCAGTACGTCAGTGACTTTTTGAACGGCCACGAGTTGGATCCCAGCAGAGCCATCCAATTGTGTCGGTATCAGCCAGGTTCGAGACGACACAGACAGGTCCACAGCATCCACCATTTATACCGAAGCTGTCGTGGCTACTGCTTGACGTCTCTCCTAGGTCTGAAGCAAGTTGCAATCCCAGGGGTTTTCACGGATGTGACCAGAACACCGGAATTTATGTGGCTTTTCTGCAGCTTTCGTGGAACTGCAATATGGACTCACGAGAATGGTGCTCGCTGTTGCTGAGCCACTTTCGTCCGCCGGCTACGATTTCTAGCATACCGATACTCACTGTTGTGCTGGAAGGACTGAAAAGATATTTGCGCACCTCCTCCAGCACAAAAAGACTTGCAAAGTGAAAGGTGAACCACAAGCTCCATAGCGTCCAGCTTGGGGTTATAAATATGACATGATCGATTGAGTACCACCGTCTCAAGCTTGTCGGCTGTCCCATTGGCTATCGTAATAGCCTTTGCGGATCGTGGGAAATGCTAGACAGCCTGTGGCGAGTCTGCTGTCCCTTCACTGGCTATAAATGCGTCATTTTTACATTTGGGCGTCGACTCCGCGAGTGCGTGCACACCAAAGTTCCAGAATGAGCGCCTACATCCACACCTAACCCACGACCATCCAAGCCCATGGTTTTTATGGTCATGGGTGCCACCGATAGTGAGTGTGTGGTCGTGGGTGGGCGCGAGCTTGCAAATTTTAATTCATAGCACTTTAATTCAGTAAAACTTAAGAGAAGGGAGGCGTTAACCACCCACCGTATTTCGTCTATCCAGGTTTTCATCAACCACCCACCACCCCTGTATATCATCGTATGTTATTCCATGTTCGCCTGCTAAGTGGTAAAATTAAGAATAAAATTCAGAAGTGATTTATAATTTCGTTTCCAGATAATAAAGGGAGCCGTTCATGAGCATTTTTTTCGCAAACAAAACCCTAATTTTTTTCTAATTTAAATCAATCGATAATTTATAAAAAGAATTATTTAATAAATGATAATTTAATGTAAATAATTTACTTAACCCTTAAAAGGTTTTTAAAGAAAAATCACCCCACTGATTATTCAAGTAGCTCAATTCTAGTCCCTCTAAATTGATAAGGTGTTTATGTACTTTTGTGCCTTTAGTTTCTGAATTTTCATAGTCGAGACTGAGCCAGTCACATCCGCAGCTCCACATGGAGCAGCCCCTCCGACGGATAAGAGCACATGGAATCTAGACTCGAGCCGTCTTGGTTAAGATTAGTACCATTCGCCCCACACAACGTTCTCTCCCACTTCAAAGAGGACCACCCCAAAAGCTCCGACGACGATACTTCGTACAAACGTATGCAGACCATCTTCCAGACGATCGTGAGAATACATACACCTGCCGTATGATGCTCACCTATTTTTATGGTTGTAAAGCTATTGTAAATGCTCTTCACGAAGCGCATGTTGTGGACAGCGTTGCATGAGCATTACAGATTTATTGCTTTAACCTAATAGTCCTTGCTAATATTCACCCATTATTGCCGTTTAATTGTTTATGATAGCTAGTGCTTGGCGTCTGACGTAGCCTTCCGGCAGTGTTAGATCGTCAAGCGCGTGACTAGCTTTGTCAACAGAAAAATAGTGTTTGTGATCTAGTTGAGGCCTTCCATGTTCCTTGTAAGAAGAAAGGGTAGATGTACGATAGCGTAGGTGATACGAGATGGCGTCAGCACTGTTATTTTCAAAACGTACAAAAAAGACAATTTGACGATAGGGGCGGTTTGAAATCCAACCACTTGTTAAATGTATGTGGTGAAGGCTCATTTGTGAAATGTGAAGGCTTGTTCATCAGCGGCTCCCATGATAAATACTAGATTTGGACATTCCAGTGCATATTACACTTTGAGGCATAAATCTATGCCGTGGTAGATCATCGTCAGTGCCCAGTCGTATACATATGAAGCACACCGACGACTTAGCACCCGAATAGTTGATCTTATCAACATCCATATAATGTCGGCAATTTCAGGTTGGCATTCTCTTTTTCCTCCACCTCGACAACCTTTACAACATAACCCTCAAAATATATCGGACCGCGGAATCACCTAACTGGAAGAAAGTCACGTAGTGGTGTAACCTTACCCACCTCTTGCTCTTGGATACTGGTAAAACTTTGCGAAATATGTTTTAGTGTATAGTAAAGGAAGTAGCTGACCCTTTTCTAACAATTTTTTC